TTAGAACTGCATGGTCACTTTTACCTAGGGGTGGCATGTAGTTGAGACTCGTGACGTCATCCTTGTAATGGGTCAATATGAGGTCTAGTACGGATGATGCAGAGTCCGGGTCGTGCCTAGTCGCTTGTTTCACATGTTGTCCTAGGGCACATGTGATAACCACGACAACTAGGTTCTGCTGGAAGGAATTTTCTGACAATTCAGTCTACCATGGATGTATCAGAGCCTCCCTGGATTATACATCGACCACTTTGTGACCAAGTATTGAGACTGTCTAACAAGACCTCATTCACCTCACAAATTCAACTGCCGTAGACCAAGCCAACCAACAGCTCTTGTCCGTTGCATTTTAAGCGGCAACTAACTAATTCACACGTCTCACTCTCATGAGATAAATTATCATTAGTGGTAAATGTGATAGTATTCCTAATGAATAGAGCTACTCCTCCTTTACACTTCTGGATTCTATCGGGTCTTTCTAACCTGAAATCTTCAACATTAAGTCCCATACTGTCTATAGACTGTGTCAACCAAGTTTCTGTGACTGCGATTAAGATCCGGCTAGGTAGAGTTAATTTATACACCTAACTCTGATCATTTATTGAGCAAGCTTCTGGCATTAGTGTAACAGATCCGAAGCCTATTTAAATCACTTCGTGCTGCACCCATAGTGACTTCGGCATCATTCTCTCACCAGTCTCACCACCCGAAAACTTATAATTTCTAGGTCCTTTTTGCCACCATCTAACCTAAGTTTTAGTTCATTTTCGGCTTCTCATCTTTTTATACGGTTCAGGAGGGGCAAGTGCTTACGAACAAAAACTCCTGAACCCTTCAGTTCATGTCCATTCGGTAATATTAAGTCCCGTTCATTGGTAGATTTAAATACTACTTTAAACAGCCTGGTTTGATGCTGTTTCGAATTCATTTGGCTACTTAATCTATACACATTTAGCAAGGTGACTCCGGAGATATCCTGAGACATAGGCGGATTCAGTAGCTGTCTTATCATCCCGATGTCATACTCAAAACGGGTTTTAGGTTCTGAGCTTTCACTCTACTTCGTTCTGCAAAAGATAAATGACCTATCACTGTGATCAGTCTTTAATTTTTCAGCTACTTTTTTTGAGGGGGGGAGTGGGTTGGATTTTCTTTAATAGCGTTGTGCCGTTTCTTTTTCTTGACCTGTATCCGTTCATAAACCTTCGTTGGAGTAGCAACCATAGTCGCGTCAAACACACTGTGGGATTCCGGAATGTTATCGACGACTTAGGCAGTCAGGTTGTTTCTTCTGCTAGGAAGAGATCTAGCCTTGCGATTGGAATTTATAGGCATTTCCTGCCGACTACCATTTAGAGGACGGGGGACAGAGGAAACCACGTTTTTGAGTTTTTATTTAGAACAGAACTCTTTGAGGTCATTATTTCCTTCTTTGATCCATGTGAGTCAGTTGTTACCCAGCTTATTTGAGGTGGCTTCACATCAATTTGTGTATCGATAGAGCGAGTAATGTCCGATGTGTCTCGACCTCATTTGCTAATACACTTCTTGGCAGCATTTACCACTAAAATGGCCTCGGTTAGCAAGCTGTTTGAGTACGAGTAGCACTGCTGAAAAAACCTCATGCAACCATTTTTACTAGACCGTTTGAAAACGACAGGCGTTAGATTCGTGCAAACTTTGTGATAGAATCCTTTACACTCGTCGCACTGCATGTCGCTTTCATCGGGGAATCGGCAGCCTGGGCGTTGACAATTGCTTTTCTTGAACTGTACAGCCGTCATACAGAGGTTTTCGAAAAGAAACTAGATACAATAATACCCAGAGACAAAAGAAATTGATGACCAAAATGTGGAAAACTGTAAATTGTTATAATCAAAATTGCTAACAAATACAATAGCAACAGAGTACTAAAAAGTAAAGACGACAAACTATTTTAGAGACGATAACGATACTCTTAGCGGATACTTTAACTGAAATAAATTCAATTGAAGTGTAAACAGTAGTCTTGATACGTAATAATCGATCAAAACAATAAAATTTACTCAGTGAGGAAAAATACCGCGGTCCTTTTTAAATAGCGCGCTTAGAAATAATAAATATCAGAGAAATATACAACGTGATAAAATAATCAAACATAATGGCACAAGAAGTGCATAAAAAATTCGAGGAAACCTATGAAAAATGATTGTAGAAAATGAGAGTCAAATCTTATCACATTGCTTTGAACATGCTCAAGCTTATTCTCTTCATATCATTCATACATTTCTTTTTCCTGACTAATGCATAATTCAGAAAAAATTTACATTAACGTTCTTCACATTTGCCAAACCAAAAATATCAACAGTTCTTCTTCCATCTCCCTATTCAGATATTGTTTTACTAACATATTTAATCAGGTGGTTTCATCAACGATATGAGTAGCCCAAAATCAGAACTAATGACGGCGCAAAAATGTGCAAAATAACGATGAAATTGTCATGAACAATTCCTCGAAAACGACATACATTCATATTTATATCTAATACAAAACACTTCGGTCAGAACAGATAGAGACTTAATTTTCACAGTTTTCTGGTAGATGCTGTCAATTCACGTATATGAAACAAATCGTATATCTATTTCACGTTATTGAACTGATTAGATTTTATTTTCGTGTTGTGCTCTCTTACAAATCATTCTTGTTTTATTTTTCTCATCAAACTTGAGTCACCTTCAACTTTTTCAACTAGTTGTGTTATGTTTATATTAAATCGATATATACTCCGATTGACCATGTTTTATATCGTTTCATGAGAATTCTAATATATTGTTGATAGTATTATAACTCGTACTAAATAACTGACATTATGTGAACTAAATTATTTCGATTGTATTATAGATTATTTTTAGGTTAGTAGTGACTATCTTGTTTGCATGTAAACGTGTCATAATCGAAAGCACGTTCAATCAAAATAAACAAAGTGGATAATTGAGGTTTCGCTTTATTCCCATTGGCTGTCGGTGGGAATTCGGTTTATCAGTTTACTTACAATGGCTTACGAATCTAATGATTAGATATTAATCAGACACCTGAAAATGTAGTATTTCACAAAGAGGAATTATCAGAAAGGAAGTCATCTTAATCAACTGACTGAAAAGTGTCTTTTGAAGATTATAAAATTTTCATATTTTAATTCATCAATTACTATTAGCGGGAATATCATCAAATACCTGGACGCGGTGGGTGTAAGACAATTATACGTTGCAATCAATGGAAGATGACATCGCTGTACTGTGAATCGATTATGTTCAGACATTTACACTGTGGGATAACCAGTAAGTGGTCTTGAAGTTAAGCGTCTGCGAACGAGGTAGAGTGGTTTTTATTCAATTCTCTGTGGCGAGATCGCGGATGTCTACTGCTTAGGAGTCCAGTACTTTCACGTTTTCACACGTGAACTAGCTAGGATTTTTCGGAGCAATCAGATAAACACACTTCTGCTTTGGTGAGGTACTAAGTGATTTATCTAGAGCGGGAATGATTGACTCACTAATCAGCTAACAAAATACAACACCACTAAGAATGTTCAAATTTCGAATCCACACCTCTGATTTATCGTCTTCTTCAGATAACTGTGTCGTTCACAATTTGTGTTTTTTCTGTTTTTTTGTTCTCCAAAATGAAATATACTTTAGTTTCATGCTAAAAATCAGAGTATTGTGGTTCGTGCAAAAATTTAGTGAACAATTTTGTGATCAATCGGCAACTATTAGAAATAAGAAAATGCTGCCATGACTGTACGGTAAAATGTCAGAAAAATATGATTTTAATGATCTTTACTTCTTAATTCATTTTTTGAAGTAATCCCTTGTAACTAATAAAAGGATGAGATGTTTCAGTTTTCAAAAAGGATGCATCTCTCAGGTGGTTGAATAAATGCTCATCTTGAGCTATAAAAAAGTAACCATCAGAGTACGGATGTAGCTAGTTGAAAAAGTGATCTGTGCTTAGATGTTTGTTGCTAGAATTTGACCAACCGATTCATTGACTTAATTGCTTCCCAACTTTAGCTATGATTATTATAAGAATTCATGTACATTTATTTTGCCAGGACAAAATATAGCAAGTGTACCTGAAATTAAATCCCCCCTTTTGTTCAGTTGAACTTTACAAATCCACTAAAATATTTCAGTTTGTTGCACTGACTTCTTTTATTGGCTCTCGCGAGTTGTCAACCGGCCTAGAGACTGGATCGGAATCCGATTGTTAGCTGTCTCCAGTTACAGTAAAACATTTAATACTATGGGATAAACTTGACTCCAGAATTGGTTGCTTGGAGATGAACATCTTGTTTTCAGGATATGATTTTAAATGCTGCATAGCTTAGAGATTACTGATTCATTTCATAGTAAAGTCACTCATGAAAATATTTAGCGAGTTGCATGATATAAACACGTTTCAGTTTACCACTTTAACGTAAAGATGAATCACCTACTGATATTTGCTTAATTGAGAAATAATTACATATATTGTTTTATTTGAAATGTTTTAATTTATAATATTTACGGTCATATACATAATTTATAAGTTTTATTTCATTAAGTCAATGCTGTGTGCCTTTTTTCCCTATTATCAATCCAGTTGTCCAATCCACATGATTTTCAGCTAAATATCTAGTAATCATAAATGCACCTGATTTCAATTGATCTTTTCCTGGATTAATATGAATGTTTTTTAAATGTGTTAGTGTTCTGTTAAGTCTTTTTAAAATAATACCTAAATATACATCGTCGATTCGCAGTTGTTTAGTGAATGGCATTGCAAACGATGCATCATGCACAACATCGGCTCCTAAAAAGTAACCCTCATTCTGACAATAAAAGAGTCAATCAATTATAAAAAAACCAATTATCATTGAAAAGATTCATGAATGACAAAATGACAAATTGTTTTTACTTCATATTCATCACCTAAAATGAGCAGACCTTTCCTGTTAAGTAAATAAGCAAATGTTTATTTATTTTGGCATACCGCTGCTCCAGTTCATTATACGTTTACTGATTTTATGATGTACATTTATTCCACCTGACATAATATCCTTTTTAGTTAAAGAAGGACCAATAATGTTCAAATGAACAAGTGTCATATTTAATTTATTAAATAAGATCCCTAGATAGGCATCGTCAATGCGTATTTCTCTAACAAAAGCACTTGCAATAGCAAGACGATGCACCAAGCTTGCACCAATAACATAAGTCAATCCATGATAGTACGGCGGATAAGATATCCATGGGAATTCCTTTACAGTCATTGCCCAGACACTACTTGTTTCATCAACCATTGGTCTGAAAACGGTTCGAGATGAACGGATGTAACCTCCATTCATATTTCTTAAATAGTCTTCAGTATTATTATCATAAAATGTTATTACATTCTTTGGTACTAAATCATAGTCATCATCTATAAACAAATATAAAGGGACTTGTTTTGGACAAAATGCTGAGAGCCATCTTAAACAAAATATCATCTTCTTTGTTAAGTTGTAATATGTATCGTGAAATGATCCAATCAACAAATCATCATATAAATCAGCCTCTAATGACAACTGTTTTACAAACGGCCACTTGGAACTTCCATAATGTTTAGAAAATCTCCACCACTTCGTATCCAAGACATATGTATTTCCATCAAATCTGAAGGAGTTTGATTCGTTTTCCATGGGGATTCCTAGGACAAATACAAACTGAACACTGAAATTCGGCCATAATTTTTTCTGCATAAATGTTCGTCTTGCACGGTCACGGTATTCGAAGTTATACACTGAAGATTTAATTATTACTATCAGATTTGGAATTAACTCATTGTTGTATGATCTGCAGACAGATTTAGGAACCCGAAGTGCAAACATTTCTGGATTATTGATAGGTTTCTAAAAGATAAAATAGCTTGTACTTTATGTGGAGAATATCAGAAAAATTAAAATAATTAATCATCCAATGTAATTGTTATATATTCTACTTTCGATTAGCTTAATGTGGATTTCCTTTTATCAGTTGTGATATTTCCTAGATGATGGGATTTTATGGAGAGAATTTTTATCTACAGGTGATATTCGTCACGGATCGATCTAAATTTAGCCACTAATGAAAAACAAAAAAACGGGTATATATATATATATACTTACCGTGTGAATTGGAATTGCATTTTGTATATCATAGATCAGCTTTGAAAAGTTCAAATTTTGTGGAAATATAGAGTAGTCAGTTGAATTCGATCCCATGTATTCTGGTTCCATACCAGTTAATAATTCCTCTTGTTTGTAGCTGTTAGATACCATATCTGCAAATTTATTGTAAAGGTCTTCATCCTTAGAATCTGTTGCATTATGCGCAAGTGAAAAATGTAATGCAAGATTGAAACTATGTAAGCGTTCATCAATTAAGTATGTAACAGAAGATGGTGGCCAACGTTGAGAATATGAATCTAGAGAGATAATTTTTTGATTATTTATCAGATTCAAATATTTAGTACATCTAATCCATGAACGTTTAGATTTGATGCAATTTTTGAAATATTCATTCTCATTAATTTTATATAATGGAGAATGATGAACTATTAATTTTATGCTAGATAACCATATAATGACGAGGTAAATTATACACACACTGCTAATAATAATCAATCCTCTCTGAATTTGTAACATTTGAATAAATGAAATACTAGTTAATAAACTAAGTAGTTAAGAGAGTTGTAGAACCTCTTAGTCAGCAATATGTATTAATGAAAGTGAATAAAACAAGAAATTTCCAAAAAAAATCAGTATGATCTTATTTCTGAATATTGAAAATGGTCGATTTCAACTGTTCATGTTATGTATGTTATTCATGTATAATCTATAAATGGCCATTACTCCGGGTTTAGGGGGTTCAATAACTGTTTACTCCCAGTTAGACACACGAATAGAAGTTTATTTAAAACTTAATTTTGGGTTAGTTTGTCAAAAAATTCAAACATTTAAAGAAATAACTTCAAGTTTCCGTTCATTGGGCGTTATTTTATTGAATAGTTTTTATTGTTAACTTTCTACTGTGTTCATAAAGTTCATTAGGAGAAATAAGTAATCATAATACAGATTTAGCCCTCAGATCAATCACTAATAAAGCATAAAATGAGGATGTGGCCTTCTAATCAAATATTATATATAACAGTCTAACATTTTCTCTGAAGAATATGGAATTTATCAACCTTCTCGGAGGTTTCAAGTCTACCGTTTTATTGATCAGTATTTGAAGGCGAAAACAGAACATTTATATTGTATGGGTAAGGTTTTTTAGGCAGCCCAATGAAATAAAGTAACAAGGGGACATTCCACTATTGTTACTGGTTAAGGTTGTAAATTTTGTGTTAGCAAACCGAAGAGGTTACTTGAGTAGTATATCGGAAATTCTGTTAGCCGACGTAATCTTGAAACATGATGGCTAAAAGTAAGGAAGCAAAATTACTTAGGGACAATTTAGATAGGTTTTAAGCTAAGGTAAAACTAACTAGGTAATCCAACCAGAATTATATAAAAAGTTGGAAGTAAAAACTTTTTTAAATACTTCCACTAAAGGACTTTAGCTTAAACTCATTAAGAAGGCTAAAAAGAGTGTTACTCTATCATCAAGTGAGTAAGTGAACTTTTTAAGCCACTGAACCTATGTCTGTAACTACGCTTTAAGAAACTCTCTAGAAATTATTGACTAGACTAATAATTGAGGATTAATGTTTTATCAAGCTTATGGTATTTATTTAAGAATGTTATACATAACGATAGAATAGGCCTTATATGTAGGTACATATGTCTTATCTAAAGGACCATTCTCAGATTTAACTTAAATTTTGAATGAGATCTACTGATAGGTAGACAATAGTATATTGGAGTAGCCATTAGGACCACTACTTAGTTACCCCTTCTTGATGTTAGCAAGTATGCATATTCAAGAGACAATACTAACGATATTTTGAGTGTTTACGACGAAAGTTTAGAATCTGACATTTTACTTAAGACATTTAGTGAATCCCATTCACCAGTTCATACAACTCTCCTATGAAAAGGAAATGAAACCTACGATCTCGTTTCTATGTATTCTATCAATAGGATCTCATATGATCTAATATGGCATTAGCGTTAGCTAAATGAATAAGATCCAAGATTTGTATCGACAGAAATAGTTTATATAATTATTTCAGTGATCATGACTATAGTTTCCATCGTATTCGCAAACTCTTTCATTCTACTTTTTTTATTTTATTTCAAAATTTTAAATTATATCTTTTCTTGTCCCGTTTGATCAATATGATCCAACCGTAATTCTGTATACAATGTATTAGTCTTGTTATTATTATTACCATTATTAATTTTATTATTATCATGCTATTCCAATTGATAACAATATTTGTCTACCTACTCGAACAAATACATTAACGCCTTCCATTGTGAAGTTAAATCTTTGACTGTCTCTTTCTAATATTTCCGATTCAGCCCACTATTATTTACTGCAGTCCATGGACTGAACTCGTTAGTGTGTTTAATAACGGTTATACCAGTCATCACGCGATCGCACATCTCAAAATAAATGGTTTTTCCTTTTCTGAAATATTTATTCGATATTGAAGATAACTTATGATAATCGTACGACTAACTGATTCATGCATAGTATATTACAATTCACAGTCAATTTACAATAATCTTTAAAGAAAATGACGAAATAAGGGTAAAATCTGCATTATTATCAGAAAATAGCTATAATGTACTTTTTTAAAATTTCAAACGAGAAATTTTATTTTCTGCACAAGAACGATTAAAAACCATATTGAAACTGATAAAAGTTTGTCTATTTTATTCATCTATGATTAATCCACTTGACCAGTCAACAAACTTTCCTCTTGAATATCCAGCGACTGTAATTGCTCTGTACTTTCCATCTTCTGTGTATGGATTGATAGGAAAGTTGTCTAAATCAATAAGAGATTGATTTAATCATTTCAGTATAATTTTCAAAAAAGCATTGTTGATTCGAAGTTTTCGAGTGTTTAATGGAGTATTATGTACAACATTTGTCCCTAAAATATATCATACATCGTTAAATTACGGTGAAAATTGTTCCCAGGGATAATCATCTATCCAAAGTGACCACTGATAATTAAACGTGCCTTTCGATCTTCTCACATTTTCAGAATAAAATAGATCTACCACAGTCGACTTGACCTTAAATGTTTTTAGTTCTAGCACTAATTTGTTCCCTGATTTTCATATTAATTAATACAAAATTTTGTGGTGACGTTTAGATTCTTTATCTACTTTCATTACTATTAATGACAAAGGATGCTAGGTGGATCCAACAAGGATTTTAAATAATAATTGCTTCTCACTTTTGAGTGACAAATCTAAAGTAAACATCCTCATTCATATTTTGAATCAGACCGATTCTGACTGCGTCAGGTGTAGACTTAATGAGGGAAGGATTATAGTGATCTTTTACTAATGGTACATTGACTGAACAGATTGTATTCACTTGAGTAACCTTTCTTTTAACAGCTTGAACAAAAACAATCCACACACTTTACAAAGCTACACACAACTACCAAAACGATTATGTTAGACATACAGACTTTCAGTTTTCTAAACCAACTTTAAGAAACAGTGTCAGTTATAAACTGTCGAATGAGTACCCTGAAAATTGATACTAGAACAGAGTACTTGAGGGGTTTGAATTGGTGAAATAAAGTGTAAAGAGTCACCGTCCAGCAGAGAAAGTTGTTTGAACACAGTGACAGTAATTCCTTTTGATACAACTTCTTTCAGAAGCGTGAATCACGAAAAACGTATTATTCCTTTGTTTATTCAAAGGTGACTTTCAAGCAACTCATATCATATTTGTTAAGTTAGATAAGCATTAGTGCACTGTATATATGTGGGTACACATTAGAATATGATTGTGAGAATTGAATTTTTAGTAACACCAGCTTTTTTCATTTATTAATGTGCACATAAACATCGTGGACACCTTATGAGATTGTTTGTAAAACAATTTGCTGTCTTACTAAGGTTTCATGAGTTTTGATAATCTCATAAATCATTTATATATAAAACCTTGGCAGATATAATACTACAATACTTTACCAGTTCACTAATTTTCATGTTTGCTCTGAAATTTATACGTTTAAGTATTCAAAATATGATTCGTTAAATAACTCATTTGCGACTCGAATCAACCATCCCAAATAGTCTTTAATAATTCAGTGATATTAAAATATTCTGGGTTATGTTCATGATATGTTTTAATCAATAACTTTTCATGTTTAACTTGATATAAAATATAATTGCCTGTATGGATTAAATAATACTCATTGAACCGATTCTAGGTTGTATCAGAATTTTTATTTTTATAATTAAGCTTTAATTGATGTTGAAAAAGATATGAAATGGGACAAAACTAGTAAATCGATTAGAACTTAGCAGTATAACAGAATGATCACCAATATTTACAGAATTGAACCAATTTTTAAAAAATTGTCAAAATCCTTTCGTTGTTGCAAGTACACTAAACGTGTGATGATTACATAACAATTCCTTTGATTATCAGTATAGAGTTGCGGAGATTGTTAATTTTATTTTTGAGATCAATAATTGATTGATGTTAAACTGTTGAGAAGTCCCGTACTAGGATGAAATGACTGTCTAGTGTTTCTTCCAAGTTTTCAATGATGGTCTAACATCAATGGATTCATGATTTCAATAAAAAATAGATTATTGAACAGATGGATAATTAGGGGTGTAATCAATATGAATCCTTTAATTTTACATTTCAATGATCATGATAAAACAGAAATATTCATTAAGTTAGTATACGTGAAATTTTACAATTAAATCATATGAAATCTACTAAAAATATCATGCATATATTTGTTGTTCACTATAAAACATGACACGTTATTTAAGAGTAAAATTATCGATTAAACACTTTGATGGTGATACTTATGATTTGAAATTTGTCTTTAGTTCAGATATTTAATTATTACTATGTAATTATTATCAATTTAGTAATATGTTAATTTTAGTAGTTGAGATTACGAGTCAATTGAAGCTAGACCACCATGGAAAACCTGGACTAATGATCTCAACTATTAAAATTATTACAATATCCACAATAAACCCATTCTGATAGTAATATATTAATCATATAATCCTTTCGTTGTTAAATAGTAATTGTTTTATTAATTTTATTATAAATTAATTTGAATCAACATTAATTTATTTCTATCAAAAGAACAAAACTACAAATAATAGTTATGTCTGAATATTTAATAAATTGAGTTAATGAGAAAACAGTATTCTATAAAATTCAGGCTTCATCATTTTTATCGCCTTCAAAACACTCACAGTATGCGATAATTTGAATATCTAAATATCCTTGGAAGTTACAAATAGACTAGTAAGATGCTTGTTTCAGTAGAAAATACTCATGGAAATTTTAATTTGATATTAGCCTAGAAAATGACGTTTTTAAGAAATTAACAGATAGGATCAACAAACATTTTTCAACATAGACTGAAATCTACGATGATCGACTAAGTAATTCTCTTCACTTCATAAATAAATAATTGTTTGGAAATCTGTTTAGATATTCACTGTTCCATATTTCTGATAAATTCTAGTTT